ATGTTCTGAAACTAACTTTGTGGATCAAGCTACCCTCTAACTCACAGAGATCTGTCTGCTGAGTACTGGGATTAAAGGCATGCAACACCCCACACCCAGCTAAATTTTTAAGCTTAGAGTCTATGATTATATTGTTAGAACATAGAATATGATACTCATTCCCTGGTCCCTGGGCAAAATAGGTCTGAACAAAAGGCCTATCTGTGTGTTGTGTGCATTTTCATTCTGGGTTCCAGGGTAGTACAGATGGTCTTGTCTTGCTTTGCTACTGTATTTCCTTTTGAAGAGATTTCTGATTATGGTTTTAATTTCTTATTTGATTCAGTAGAATCTCCCAAAGAAGGTAAAGGAAACAAGTCTTCCCCACTCTCTGTGAAGAATGCCAAACGGAAAGTGGAGGGCCCAAAGAAAGCCAAGGCAGACAGCCCCGTGAATGGGTAAGATGCTCATGTGTGCCTAGATAGACACTGAAGGCTAAGGTATTACAGGTCTGAAACTACTCCGCTCCTGTTTGCAGCTTGCCAAAAGGGCACGAGAGTCGAAGTCAGAGCAGGAGCCGTGAACAGAGCTACTCAAGATCCCCGTCACGGTCTGCTTCTCCAAAGAGAAGGTGTGTGCCTGGGGCATTTTCCTAGGGTAGTAGGAGGGGACATAGATGTCACTCACAATAGTGCAGACATTGGCGCCTTTTTATTTTATTTGAGACAGGGTTTCTTTTCTGTGTCTTTCTGGCTGTCCTGGAACTCATTCTGTAGAGCAGACTGCCTCCCAAGTGCTTGGATTGAAGGTGTGTGCCACCATGCCTAGTAGGGCAGTGGCTCTTAACCTGATGTGGTTTTTCTTTCTCTGAATTTAAGAGTCCCTTTGCTGCCAGCTGGTGGTGGTACATGCCTTTAATCTGAGCACTTGGAAGAAAGAGGCAGACAGATCTCTGAGTTAGATGCCAGCCTGGTCTACGTAGTGAGTTCCAGGACAGCCAGGGCTACATAGAGAAACCCTGTCTTGAAAAATGAAACAAAACAAAACGAACCCCTTTGCCAACTCCTCTGCTTTGTTAGGGCTTGGCCAGGACAGGTGGCCACACTTGTGGTCACATGTATGTTTTTCTCTCCACAGGAAAAGTGATAGTGCCTCTACCTCAGGTGGGTCCAAGTCACAGAGTCGTTCTCGGAGCCGCAGTGACTCTCCTCCAAGGCAAGTACACCGTGGTGCTCCCTACAAAGGCTCAGAAGTGAGGACCTCCCGGAAGTCAAAGGACTGCAAGTACCTCACCCAGAAGCCACACAAGTCTCGTAGCCGGAGCTCCTCTCGTTCTCGAAGCCGGTCACGAGAGCGGACAGACAATTCTGGAAAATACAAGAAGAAAAGTCATTACTATAGAGATCAAAGACGAGAGCGTTCAAGGTCATATGAGCGCACAGGCCATCGCTATGAGCGGGACCACCCGGCACACAGCAGACATCGGAGGTGAGATGGATTCCCTGGTGGCTGCCCTTGGTCCCTCCCTGTTGGGCACACCTTGGCTTCAGTGGCCTTGTAGCATGATATTTTTTGGAAGTGTTTTCAATTGGACCTTGAGGTGAATTTAACTGATGGGACAGTGAGCAAGGTACCCTTCAGGCTGGCCTGAGGAGTGCTGCACATCTGTCCTAGTTGAAGGTCCACCTCAACTGCTGACCTTCAGGTAGCTGGATGGAACAGCAAAGGCACTCGTCCCCATTGGTGTGGCTTGGTGCTATTGATAAGCTGTCTCTTCACTCCTAAACTGATACTCAATTACGTTAAGCCAAGAAAGATGATTTTTCAAATGTCCGCCTATATTAGGTTATACTTGTGTACATATTTTCCAGTGTTTCACAATGAGAAAATGGCCTTAAAAGCCCCGCCCCTGTTCTCTATTCACGTTGTAAATAAACATGTGTTTAATACAAGTGACAGCTATATATAAAAACTCAGAATTTGAATTCTGTTAGCTTAACACTTGTATAGAGAATTCTGATTTTTAAATTGTGAAGGTATTTAGGTCTGTGTTGAAAGTCATATATTTTTATCTGTGCAATGCTGAGTGCAGGCCACCAGCTCTAGAGAAATTTTACGAGGTTGAATAAACAAAAATTCTCAGGACACTTGGGATGTAAGACTTTGTGGGCTGTCATTCTGCTTGTTTTCTTATGTGCATGCCTGGGACTTGGCTGTGGGACTCAGGCATAGTGGGAGTGTTTGTGTGCAACTGTGCACTGCCAGTTTAGCTATTCTAGGGGAAATATGAGCTGTATATCCCCTGATCTTTGCTCCCAGTTCTCATTAAAGTGTTGATTTTTGTATTAAGCTCTGTGCGTTCCTGAAGCCATCTGCTCTTAGAGACGAAAGGCTGTTTTCTGGAGTGCAACCGGAGGGAAGATAGGACATCAGTGTCAGCTGAACTCTCCAGACTAAGGGTCATGGGTTTATTGTAACTTAAAGTTTGGTTTAGGTACAGGGACAGCCAAGAATAAGGCTCCTGAGTTCAGATTGTGATCTGAACCACTGTGGACAGACAGTAAGACAGGTAAGATGAGCAGGCCTATTCTTTGGATGAGTATTGCCTGTAAAAATGTACTGGCTCTTCTGCCAGGGGTCACTTCCTTAGACTAGCTCCTAGAGACAAGTATGGGCCTTGTTCCCTATACCTTACCCCACCCTCAATAGCAGAACATCAGTGCCTCCAGCTAGCCTGCATATGCTTTGAGTATCATTGCTGGGGCTAGTGAAATCCTGCTCAGGCCAGCTTCATGGTTCCCTGTCCCTACACAAAGAAGTAGCAGGTGGATCAACTCTACTGCAGTGGCTCCCAGGTCATGGTGATCATTGAGACCAATACAGGTTCAGCAAGGTATTTGTGGGCCCTGGCAAGAAAAGACAGTTCATCCTGGTATCCCCTGTCTGAGGGTGGTATGATCAACCTTTCTCTACCTCTGTGGCAGTGGCTCTCAACCACTGGGTTGCATCCCCTTTGGAGTGGAACAACCCTTTCACAGGGGTCACCCAAGACCATCGGAAAACAGATGTTTACATTACAACTCAGAACAGTAGCAAAATTACAGTTATGGGACTTGGCGGTGGTGGCGCATGCCCTTAATCCCAGCACTCAGGAGGCAGAGCCAGGTGGATCTCTGAGTTTGAGGCCAGCCTGGTCTACAGAGTGAGATCCAGGACAGGCACCAAAACTACACAGAGAAACCCTTCTCAAAAAAATAAAAAACCAAAAACAAACAAAATTACAGTTTTGAATTAGTAATGAAAATAATTTTATGGTTGGGTGTCACCATAACATGAGGAATTGCATTAAAGGGTCACAGCATTAGGAAGGTTGAGAATCACTGCTCTAAGGGAATCCATGTAACAAAGGGTACAGAAGCCACTGTTTGCCTTGTTCTTAGGTTCTGCATCAGGCACAGTGATACTGTTGTGCACTTATCACTTTGATGCAGGAGGCAATACAGCTTTTTCATCTTGTATAATACTCCAGTAACATTTAGATTTTAGATAAAAGTTAAACACACACACACACACACACACACACACACACAGTATGTTTTGTGTTAGAATTTTTCCCTTAACTATTTAGTTTAATCAAGAAGGGGTTTCTGGGGGGCTGGAGAGATGGCTCAGAGGTTAAGAGCACTGGTTGCTCTTCCAGAGGTCCTGAGTTCAATTCCCAGCAACCACATGGTGGCTCACAACCATCTATAATGAGTCTAGTGCCCTCTTCTGGTGTGCAGACAGAACACTGTATACATAATAAATAAATCTTTAAAAAAAAAAAAGAAGGGGTTTCCAACTGTGATAGCACATGCCTTTAATTTGAGCACTTGGGAGACAAAGATAGGTTGATCTCTATGAGTTCAAGGCTAGCCTGGTCTCTTTAATGAGTTCCAGGCCAGTACATAGTGAAACCATGTCTCAATTAAGTAAAAAGTGGAGTTGAGGAATGTAGCTTAATTGAATGCTTGCTTAGCATGCCCAAAACCCTGGGTTTGATCCCCAGCACTAGGGGATAAACTAGGTGTGGTGGAACATGGAGGCAGACTTGCGAGTATCAGTAGTTTTAAGACCATCTTATGTACTGAGTTTGAGGCAGACTGGACTACTTGAAATCTTATCTAAGATTTGGCATCTCTCTTTCAAAGGACCCAGGTTTAGTTCCCATCACCCATACTAGGAGGGTCACAACCACCTGTAACTCTTGTTCCAGGGGAATCTGATGGCCTTTTCAGGCCTCCATTGACACCAAGCTTGAACATGGTACACATACATACATGCAGGCAAAACAATTACAATGAATAAATACATCTAATAAATTTAAAACTAATAAAATTTTTAAAATACACAATGTTCAACAAGCTTCATAACTAACTATGTTAGGATAAGATGGTGGTGGTGGTGGTGGTGGTGGTGGTGGTGGTGGTGGTGGTGGTGGTGGTGGTGGTAAACTCCTTTAATCCCAGCACTTGGGAGGCAGAGGCAGGCTGTCTCTGTGAGTTCAAGGCCAGCAAGTTCCAGGACAGCCAAGGCTACATGAAGAAACCCTATCTTGAACTGCGCTTCTCCTTCACCTCCAAAAATAAATAAATGAATAAATAAAAGACATATATACGCTGGCTCTGGCACTCCACCGTTGAGCTAAAGTAAGGTGTTACCCTGACTGGCACAAGCCAGCTAGTATTGGGCTTCTGTGGCCCAATATTAGGGCTCTTCATCACAGACTGGGATACCTTAGGCCACTCACACTCTTAAATGCTCCTCTATCCTCTAAAGAAAACACACACACCTTCCCCTCAAATCTTCTACCAGTGATTTTTCTTTTTTCTTTTAGAAATGGTTTTGCTTTGTAGACTAAGGTAATCTAGAACTTAAGATCGTCTTCCTCTGCTTGCTGAATGCTGGCATTGAAGGCACACCAGGATCTGATCAGGGTCTTGGGAACAAACTAAAATCCTATGGAACAGCAGGAAGTGCTCTTAATTGCTGAGCCATCTCTTCAACCCCACCAGTGCTTTTTCTTTGGGTTTTTATGAAGAATTGATCTTTGTAGTTTCAGTTCTGCCTTGCCAAGATTGGCTCATACCAGCAGTACGTTGTCACAGTGTCACAGATATGTACCCATGTTTCATTGCCACCATGGCCAAGCAGCTGCCCTATGCTGGTTGGGCCCCTTGTTTTGGCCTGGGGTCTGTTGAGGTATTGGGATCTCAACAAGCTTGGCATTTCATGCCTCCCTAAAGATCAGAAACTGGCTAATTCTGGGATTGGGGAAGAAGGATGCTGATTGCTTTGTTTCCAAGACATGGGTTTCCACTTGCCCTTTGTCCTATTGGTCCCTTATCTGAATTGTTCTCAACATCATCACCTCTCTGATGGATTTATTTATCGCTTTGGATCCTTGGTTTAGGTCTTCCATTTTCATCTAACTAGGTAGAGTACAGGGAGATAAATAGGTCATCAAGTGACAGTTGATGATGTTGAGGACTGGAAGCACCAAGATGAAGGCTGGAGTCTGGAGGGCACCATTTTGCCCTTTGTGGCTAAACCCAGGGGAAGAGACTGAACTGAAGATAATCTAATGTGTATAAACCTTCCTGTTTGGGTTAGTGCAATGTGTGGCTCAGTGGGTTCAGTGCTTGCCACACTAGCCTGACAACCTGAATCAGATCCATCCGTGTAATCCAAGTAAAGGTGGAAGAAGAGAACTGACTACCAAGTCATCCTCTGACCTCTACATGTATGCTGTGAAACACCATTAGAAAAGACATAAACCTTTGTGTTTAAAAATCTCAGGCATCACCTCTGGAAGGTAGGGTATATACAACATCACTTTGTGACCTCAGTTATAGAGCCAGACTAGAGCCTGCAGTTTCCGTCCTCATTACTGATTTATGCTCCTGCCACTAACTGTTAGCTAGGTTAGTGCCTGGGGATGACACATTTGGCCACTCCTTGCTAAGATTCCCCAGAAATCCCTCATGCAAAGCATAAGCAGTTTCTCAAATGAAGGAGATCCTGAGTCTTGGACCTTTCTTAAAGCAGGTGCCCCTGTCCATCGTGGCAGACTGGCCTTTCTGAGTGAGAGAGGTGTAGTATGAAATGCTAGGGTCTTGCTGTGGGAAGCAGCACCCATATTCCACAGAGGCTGCTTTAGGTTTTGGGGTTAAAAATTAACGTGTGAACAAACAGCAAGCAGAGGCAGGCCGAGCTCCGTGAGTTCGAGACCAGCCAGGTCTACAAAGGGAGTTCCAGGACAACCAAGGCTCTGTTACACAGAGGAACTCTGTCTGGAAAAAACAACCCAAAAACTAACGTTGCAGGTCTTTCCCCCCCCCCCCTCAGGTACACGATTGGAACTTGTTTGCTTTAGAAACGGTCCATATAGGATTTAGGACCTCTCACTTGAGATTGGCGGGGAGAGGTGGCTGTCAGGTTAACAGATAGGGCCGCAGGAGCAGTATGTTCAGGAAGAGCACCGAATTCCTGAGAACTCAAGAAGCCCTGCGAGTCCTATTTTGCACCCATCATAAGCCACAGGGCTATTCCTAAACCATCTCCAGCCCTAACAGGAGGAGCTCCAAATTCTTTCGTCGCTGCATCATGTCATTTCCGCAGTCCTACAGGCCTTGTGGAGAGACGAAACAACAAAAATATTGCTCAAGTCCACGCGTGCGCACAGAGCACTATCGGGGATTGTGGACCGATGTAGGGTTTTGGTTGTTTTCTTGTCCGGAACTGACGAGCTGCTGGAGAACTGGGGCGGAGGGAGCGGTCCCTCTAACCGGAAGCGATTGCTAGCGGGCGCCCAAGAGATGGGTTGACGCAGAGTCGGGCGCCAGAGGGCGCTGGGTAGGATCAGGGTGGGGCGGAACCCTTCCCAGCTTACAGACCGGAAGTAGAGGGCGCTGGGTAGGATCAGGGTGGGGCGGAACTGTTTACAGGCCGGAAGTTCTCAAGGTCAGAGGCATAGTGGTCAGTTTTAACTTCCGGGGTTGGGTCTGTGTGTCGGAAGCTTGAAAGCAATAAGCTGTAGGGGAACTGGAAAGATGAGAGGCTACCGGCCGCTGTCGGCCTGGTTCTGTTTGGTGCGTTCGAGCGTTGACACTATCCCGCGCTGTGGGTTCGGGTGCCTGAGCAGAAACAGTGGGTGGGTGGCTTGCGGGGGTCGCGTTGGTGGAGACAAGTAGAGGCAGGATTTAAGCCAAGAGCGACGTTGAAGATGCCTCATTGCTTGTCAGGGGGATCCTGGGTGGTGGGGGTATGTGAGCCATGCGGCCTGGCCTGCGGGCGACAACTAATAACAC